TCCTGCCTCCCTTTCCTGCCTCCCTTTCCTGCCTCCCTTTCCTGCCTCCCTTTCCTGCCTCCCTTTCCTGCCTCCCTTTCCTGCCTCCCTTTCCTTCCGGGCCAACAGAGATACCAGTCCTGCCTTAGAGCAGGGCACCACTGAGAAGGGTACTGCTCCCCAGAGTTCGGCGCTCCCAGACACCTCAAGTGACACCTTACAGGAAAAACGGATCCCAACCAGCACAGCAGCAGGGAATCTCCTGCACAGAGCATCCTCTGGGCCTGAGGCCACCCAGCCTGCCCTCCTGCCATCCCCCAATCCTGCCTCAGCTTCTCGGCCTCCCTCCACCACACTGAAGGCGTCGCCAACCACAGACAAGCTGCCCTACGTGCCCCACAGCCCCTTCCACCTCTTCTCCTATGACTTTGAGGATTCTCCCTTAGCCACCAAGGAGAAGGAAGCAGAACCACAGAAGGAGAACAGGTAGATTTGTCCGTGTGGGGCCCTTTTGAGGTTAACGTGGGGGAGAACACAGCACCTTAATTGCATTCTGTGACATGTCTTCTGCCCAGCTTGTGGGGTGAAGTCAGAGCAGACAGATGTAGCCTAAACTAACTCCCTGACCACTGACTAATCAATGACAAGTATTTAGATAAGAGGCAGAGGACTTGGGGGTGTAGCTCAGTGACATAGTATGTGCCTTTCGTGTATCAGGAGCAAGATTCAACTCCATGAACCATCAAAAAATAAAATCACTGTACATAAAATATAGAGGAAAACTGTCATGTGTTTGAACTAAAGAGATCTTTTATTTTAATATAATTTGCAAATAATAGATTTTTAAACAATCTGTTAGAATCTATCCAACTCCCACTCACCCATCCATCAGCATGGAGAGCTTTTGAACAGCAGCAGGCAGGGGAAGTGCTTCCCCCTCCATATAGCTTGGTGAGTGGGTTTTCCTTCCTTTAGCAGTTCCCCTGACTCCTCTTCTTGGAACACACACTCTGCTTCGGAGCCTTACAACTTCCGGTCTTTCTCTTCTAATAGGTGGGTGTCTTACTATTTCTTCCTTTCCCTATTCTGTAGCTGTCTGCTTTCTAATACATGCATTTTTCTTCTCAAAGATTGCTAGTTGATGACACACAATTACAGTCTGAGCCACTTCATGGGGCCTTGATGTAATTACACTACTTAACCATGATCATTTAAATAAGTTATATAATAAGAAATCTTACTGGCAATAGGGATGGAGATGCGCAAGTCCAATCACTGACTGGTAAGTTTAACTGATGTTTGCCGTATGAATGCCCTTCATTATTGCCTGAATTAGGAGCTCTCTGCTGGGGTAGAGAACTGGGGAACAATGGGATTGTGTATTTCAAACAGTTGTCCGCAATCGATAGTTAATCATTCTGATTGGCCACCTCACGTTAGAAGAATAATAATTAACATTTATTATAAGCCAGGCCCTGTGTTTTCCATGAAATTAGTACTTTCAAGTACCACTTAAGAGTTAAGTAGGTTCTATGATGAGCCCTTATTTGTGGAGAGGAAACTGGGGCACAGAGAGGCTGAGCAGCTTATCCTGAGTCACTCAGCTAGTGAGTGGGAGTATAGACAACCTGTTCCACAACTGGTATCCTCACCTGAGCCTTGAATCACTGGCTGTCTCTAGCAATCTGTTGCTATCTGCTCTGGGCTTGCCATACCTCTGCCAGGGGTCTTTGGGAAGATCCTTATCAGTGAGAACTTTTGACAGAGGCCTGTGTTTGGGGGGCCCTGAGCCTGGGTGCCTAGTAAGAAGCTGTACCTCATTTTGAATGAAGCCTTATAAAACCTGAACCTGGAGGGCGGCTGTTTCACACCATGAAAATGACCAATCTCCAGGGTTATCAGACCTTCCATCTAATAACTAGGAGTAATCTGTGTTCACTTGCTTACCTATAATCTAAAAGATTTTTGAATCTTTAAGTTTTAAGTAGCCCGTCTAAACCATTTTTAACCATAAGTTTCAATTGTTGTAAAGGGTGTAATTTGTCTATGGGGTATGGGTTGATTTTTGTCAAAACCTTCAGATGTCACTTATTGAGTTATTAAAACATCTATGTACACCTAATTGGCAGAACCAGTCCTCCGGCAAATGATATCTAATTTCCATCAAAAGTAGCCTGGCTTCATGTTTCAATTCAAACAAGCCAGCTCATCTGTGTCCCTGATAGCCATCTCGCTCCAGGGGCTCAGGTATGTGGGCAGGTAGATGGAGGTCAGGCATGAAGCCTTTCTCTGAATTTGTCCCTGGATAGATATAGCACCATCGTCTCCCTCTAAGAATTCCTGTGGGACTAGTTGCTTTCCCAGGTTCTACCTCTGCTTGGCCTCCTGGAGTCTACAAGGCAGTGTCCCATTTGGCCTCCATCCCCTTGAGGTTTCTTCTTTCTAAAAGTGGAAAGCAAATGTTGGAAGTCTTTTGGGGTGGCTCAAACAGATCCACAGTAGGAAGAGTAGCGCTGGAGCTAGTGAATCTGAAGATCCATTTCCCCTTGTTTACATGATGGCTTTGTATTCCTCTGGGGGTTATAGCAGAGTTTTTCTCCTGCTTCTCATAAGGTAAGTTTTTTTTTTTTAAATTGCTTTTATTTTTTAAATACAGGACAGCAGAATGCATCACAATTCTTATTACACATGTAGAACATGATTGTATATAAAGTATGTTCACACCAATTCATGTCTTCATACGTGTACTTTGGATAATAATGTCCATCACAATCTACCATCATTTCTAAGCCCCTGTCCCCTCCCTTCTCCTCCCTTCCCCTTCCACCCCTCTGCCCTGTCTAGAATTTGTCTATTTCTCCCATGCTCCCCATCCCTACTATGAGTCAGTCACCTTATATCAGAAAACATTTGCCATTTGTTTTTGAGGGATTGTCTAACTTCACTTAACATTATCTTCTCCAACTCGATCCATTTGCCTGCAAATGCCATGATTTTATTCTTTTATTGTTGAATAATATTTCATTGTGTATATATACCCCATTTTCTAATCCATTCATCTACTGAAGGGCATCTAGGTTGGTTTCAGTTTAGCTATTGTGAATTGTGCTGCTATAAACATTGATGTGGCTTTGTCCCTGTAGTAAGCTGTTTTTAAGTCCTTTGGATATAGACTAAGGAGAGGGATAGCTGGATTAAATGGTGGTTCCATTCCAAGTTTTCCAAAGCTCCATACTGCTTTTAGTTTGAAATACCTCAAAACTACTGGTTACCTATTGGTCTATTCCAAGTTCAAAATCCTGGGATTGGCCAGGCACAGTGATGCACACCTGTAATCCCAGCAGCTTGGGAGGCTGAAGCAGGAGGATCACGAGTCCAAAGCCGGACTCAGCAACTTAGCAAGGCACTAAGCAACTTGGCAAGATATTGTCTCTAAATAAAATGTAAAAAGGGTTGGGAATGTGGCTCAGTGATTAAGTGTCCCTGAGTTCAATCCCTGGTACCCCGACCCCCCACCCCCAAGTCCTGGGATTGTGATCATCCACAGTTTTATGGAATGAATCCAAAATGACTCCTGGTGCTCATCAGAACAGAACCTATGTGCACTTTAGGAGCTGTTCTTTTGACCAGAAAAAGATAAAAAAAACTTTGGCAACCTCCTCTTTCCTGGCAGGGTATAAACCACGTTGGTGATCCTGGACTTTCTGGTGATGGTCTCTGCCTCTGATGGGGCTTACCCGGGCCCCAGGTCCTTTCTCCTGTGGTCTCCAGTCTTCACCACTATGTATAGACATGAGGAGTGAGAGCAGTAGGGACATGAGTTACCCAGTGGAGTATGCTTGTACCCTGAAATGCAGCTCCGTCCTTGTGAATGAAGAACGATGTTGGTTTAACTGAGCAAAGTTGACAATTGATCTGCTGAGAATTTCAAGACTGCATAAATATTGCGCTTATTGAATTTTCTGATGTTCACTTGCTGTGCTTTTCATAGGCCTGTGTGGCCACAGATTTGACAGCTCAGTAGTTGACTGCAGTTGAATGGGTTGTGTAAGAGACCCACCCGTTAGTCATGAAAAGGAACCCTCCCGGACTTACACGTAAAAACGCTGAACAGTGGAGTTGTCTGATCCAGTTAACTTGGCTGAAATTGAGAAGCAAACTTGGGCAGACGATAACGCATTTGAATTAATTGCTTAGTCATTAGAAAAACCAAAGGAGGGAAAAACACACTATGCTTGTTTTATTTCCATCACGTCATTGAAGCAATTTTAGCAACGCGATCCTGTTAAAACATTCTACAGGATGAACACTTGTGGTCGGAGGGGACTGTTTCAGCTGCTGGGGAGGGACAACAAACTGAGTGTCCAGACAGCTGGCACTTGTCCAGGCTGGAGTTGGTGCACAGTGGAGGCAGCCCAGCTTCTTCCCTGGGGGCTCAGGCTCCTCGTTCCCTTCCTCACGGCAGCTCTGTTTTCTGCCTTTTTCTTTCATTTTTTTTTGCTTATGAGCTTTCCCCTTCCTTCTCTCCTTTTTATTGTCCTTTCATTGTTCTGGCTTCTCCGTGGCCTCATGAAAAATCAAATTAATGCTCACTTGGAGAAGCAGTTAATCTTCTGGACCTGTGGAATGTTGGGCTTTTAAAGAGGGGAAAAGAAAAATGCCCAGAAACCAGGTCCACGAAAGTGATGTGTTAACACGGTAGGACAACGGGGTGAAACCGTGGCGAGTCTCCACCTACCTGGCAGCATGTCTGACACGGAGCACATGCCCAACATGTGACACCAAATAAACAAAGGGCTATAGCCAAGCTGACCCGAGTCGTCAGCACAGGATTTGAGGAATAGAAATATTCTCATTTTTATTATGATAATGTTCGTTCTTTTTGGAAACTGAAATTTCATCTCTCTGTTCTACTTTTTAAAATAGAGGTCCTATGTTTACATTCTTTGTTAACTCATAGCTTTTCACCTTTGAGAGTATTTTTATGCAGTTGTGATCAGACACTACAGTTTCATATCCTGATATTTTCATTCAGCCTATATATCAACATTTTCCACATTATCACAAGATAGATAATCATTTTAATGGTTCTGTAATATTCTATCAATAAATAATATTGGGTTTTCTTAGCCATTCCTGCATTGAACCTGATTGATTAGTTAACCACGATCTAAATGTTTCCAGTGAACAGTTTCCTGCATGTCGCTTTTAGTGTATAAATAACCATGATGCCATTTCATTACATTAGGTCCCCAAAGTAGAATTATGCTCTTCAAGGATATATATACTTTGAAGTCAAATTGCTTTTCAGAAGGGTTAATACTAATTTCAGTTGCTCATTTATCATAGTGACCTCTAGGGTTCCACACACCCTAACACAGTACCCCTAAACAGTTGAGAGTAAGGAGCTGACCTTGCCCTGTGCCCAGGTAGGCTGAGAGACAAAGCTCTCAAACCTTATCTGTAACGAATCATGGGCATCTGGTCCCATAAAAGGGCTCCAAATAATGATTTGTTTTCTGCTAATTCTCTGAGTAATGACAGCAAAATAAAAACTGCCGAAGGGCATCTGTTCTGAAGACGGCTCCAGAATTTTATAAATGCTGAAATTCCACTTGTCACAGATGACATGGAAATGATCAAAGCCCATGTAAGCATAATGGCTGTAACTTTGGTTCAGTAGAACTGTCGGATGAAAGTCTGGATGTATCTGTAAATAGTAAGCTGGTCCAGAAGGCCTGGGCAGAGTTTCCTCTTTATCACAGGGCATGTGACGGTGAATGAAATTGATTCAGAAGTATCTAAATCGGAATGATTAATGTTTCCTTGGCCAAGTGTATGATGTTTTCTACAGAACTTTGATAAAATTAACACTCATGGTACCATCCTGAGAGGCAAGAAATTGTGTTACGGTTCAAATGAAAATAACTTGGATTCTTAATTTATGTTAGCAATTAATTTCAGTGTACATTTAGACAGACAGGAAATGTGAGGGTTTTCTTTAGATCCTTTGTCATAAATCCTGCTGCCTAATGGTTTGGGACTTTGAGAAA